GCCTAGCACGACTTACCGTGGTGCCAGGGTGCGCCACCGTGGTTCTGGCAAGAATTTCTATCGTTCGAGCAGCGCCAGCAGAGCACGCCAGTAGGAGACGCCGCCCTCGACCCAGGTCCGTCAGCTTGCCTCCCCGAAAAAGGTCACATTTGAGGGGCCGGGCAGGCCGCCTGTCTTAGTTTTGGGTGGCCGCGGCAAACGCTCTGGCCCTGCGCCCCGGCTGGTTCGACGATTCGTTGCAAGAACAAGACGGACCTGGCCCAGGTGGGCCCGTGCAGCTAGCGAGGCAACTTATCGATCAGGACTACCTCCTCACAGGCATGCAGGAAGCATGTTATGGGCAATTTCTGGGTTGTCCGTTCGTCGGCCGCACTTTTGGGCACGGACGGGCGCGCGCTCTGGGCGCGCGCGACTACGCAGTGCATGCCCGGGCACAACATTGCGACGGACATGCCAACCAGGGTCATTGTTGCGATCCGATTGCCAGGTTTTACCATCAACGTGTTGCGCGCGCCCCGCTCGGGGGCTGGTGGATCCTTGGCAGCGGCCATTATCGAGCTTCAATAGTGGTGGGCTGCCACTGTCGCGCTGGCCTTGCACGCCAGGCAGGGGGCGGGGCATGTTGTTGTTCTGGCTGGCCCCGACTGCGACGTCTGCAGTTTCAGTTCACCTGCCGTCGGCAGTGAACAGGCTTGGCCTTAAAACGCACCCGGGCAGCCATTTCGCCAGTTCTTCCAGGACGCGCAACACTGGGCCCCATCCACCTTCCAGATCGCCCACTCCTGCAAATCTGGTTCTTGGACGGCGCCCCTCTGGGAAAACTGCGGCTGAAGTGCGGGTATGCCATGCGTCGTGCCGCGCTGCTTCGGTGCTTCTTCACATGGGGGCAGTGCGCGCAGGTATGCAGGCGCCTGGATACATGCTTCTTCGCGGACGCGAGCGTGCATCTCACGCCACATGCTCCGAGCAAGCTCGTTTACCAACTGCAAAAGAGCGCCGCGCAGTTTCAGACGCCATACCGCGCTTGCGTATGTACCATGCAAATGTCAGCGACTTCGCAGGACGCCGACAACGCGAAACAATGACGTGCCCGATGGACGCGCATAGTGCATAGCCATGTCTTTCGGGCATAATCCCCGCTAAAGTTCGGGCGCGAGCATTGGTGCGCTTCCTTCTCGGTTGTCATCAGAGCCTGCGTCCGTGTAGAGTGGCCCGTGTAATGGAAGGGGGGCTGCTACTGGAACGTTCGGAAACGTGGTGGGAGCCCCAACTAGCCCACTCATTCCCGCGCGATCGTGGTATCGCCACAACTGGGGAAACATGTCGCACGCTCAATAGGACACCGCTGGTTTCTGTTCTGCCTGATTGGGCGGGTGGCAGTCGATTCAGAGGTATCTCTGGCCGAGGCGTGGACCTCGCAGGCTTGGAGATGCGCTCGCTGCATCAAATCTCTGAGACCCACAGTGCGTCGGCAATGTTTTTGCTAGTGTGGACGTGGTCCAAGTTTTTCGCATGTCGCTACGAGAGGTCGTGATGCGTGATGGCCTCGCGCAGCACAGTTGAGGATGTCGGGCACTGTGCTCAACGTCAGTGGGCCGCCACACTCCGTCTAGCAGGTGCGACTTTGAATGCATTCCGTGGATGCAGAACTGGCGTGCACCGCGTCGGCAATTGATGTGTTTCTTCGACGACGGCGCTTTTGCCATCGTGCGCCCACCTACTGAGTTGCTCAGCGTCGCCGCGGAAGTTGCAGCATGAGTCGCCTCTAGGCGCCTCAGTTTCAAGAGGCAAGTCGGAGTTTCTCTTCCAATGTCGAGGTGAGCAGTCCAAGCCAGCTCGCATCCAGCTTTGGAACAAGCAGCAGGGCCAATTTCAAATCAGCACCGACCGCGCAGGCAATTCCACCATCGAAGTTGTAAGACAGCACCCACATTTGGGAACCATTCTCGAATGGTAGGGGGGGGGGGCTATGGGCCCAGAGATCTTTCGCAGGATCGTTGGAGTATCGGCCTCATCCCACGTTCTGCGACGGCCGTCCGCTCGCTTAAGCACATGCCCGACTCGCTAGGCATGAAGATGTGTTTCGTTGGCGCTGTCACCTCGTCTTATGTTGCGCGCCAGGCAACTAAATGGGCCAACGTTGAAGCGAGTGCCCACAAGTCGTCGCGAGCCGATATCCTCGGCGGCTACAGTTCAGCTGCAGGTATGCAGCAGCGTGACGAGCACGCAGCGCCAGGCTGCCGTGTCCTAGCTACGGTCACCCGGCCTGATCTGGATATCTTGCTCAGCAGGCACCGACTTCGGATTCTAGGCCGTCTATTTCACGTCGGCTCCAACCTACTGCCCGGACTCGCTGCGCGCTTATCGGCTTGCTCTCAACGCTAGCTCCACCAAGCGTCCATGGCCCCAGCATGGGCTAAACGACATACAGTGTCCCCGCTCTGCTCGCAAGCCTTCTTCGCGACTTCCCCGACCCCGCTTGCGACTTCGGGCTCGAGCCCGAATTTGAAATTCTAGACAGCCCCTTCAAGCATGGGAAACTTGCGATCAGCGCTGAGAGGACACGCGCAAGCAGTTGCATGGCAAACGCTGGCTGACCAGGCCGAACGGCAATGCTTCGCCATCGTTCGCCACAGCGGATTCCCACTGTCAGTCGCTCATCCTCACCGCCCGCAACGCGTTGGCGAACGTTCGAACGATGCATCGCCCGCGTGCGCGCATATGCCCATGGTGCCCTACACATGTACGTACTGCAGCTACGCTACGACCGCATATCATGCGCGCGCACTTTGCTATGGCACCATGGGTGGAGAGGGTAGTGGGCTCATCATCGGTGTGCCGTGCCTGCTCAGCGGAATGCGCAGCCGTGGTCAGCTACGCCACCATCTCGCATTCGATGCAGCGGGGTGACGTCCAATGTATTCTGCGCGGCTGTCAGCTCGATCCCGACGCCGCCTGCGCGGTGTCAGCGGCGGGCGCGCAGCAGCGCGCCGCTCGGCGTAAGGCCGTCTTGGGCATGTGCGGAGCTGCGCGCCCAGCCGCGCACGCAGTCTGCGACGATGGCGTGCTCTGGGAGGCTGCTCGGGCATTCTCGCATCTCTCTGAGCAGGAGGCCAGGGAAGTCATTGAGGAATCCTTTTATGAAATAGACGACGCAGCTAGACGGCAGCTTCGTGAGGTTTGGGCGCGCGCCCTGACTCCGACGTCGCCCTCCGACCTGGCAGTTGCAGCCGAGGATCGTCGCTATTTGTTCAGGCCCCAGGACTTCCAATGCAAAGCCGCGCAGCATAGTCCCAGGCGCCCGAAGCGCGCCGAGTTTTTTATCTGAACCCGTTTTGACGTCGCCGCCAAGGATATCCAGGATCATACTGACCATTCGCAAACACATTACGATGCAGGTTGTGGCGTTTTCGATCGATATCCCCCTCGATCCTGTGCGGTGTGCCTGAGCGCGTGCCACTGCCGTGCAGGAGTGGACCGCGCACATACACTAGCACGACGTGTGTGGGTTCCAAGGGGTTCCAAGGGGGGGATGGGGGACTTTCGAAACCTGGCGCGCTGCGCTTTGGCCTGAGGGTGGCGCGCCATCAGCTTTGCTCCTTGCTGTGCATGCCCGCGTAGGCACCCGCGGTTCTTGTGGGTGCCTCTGGGGTCCCAGGAATGTTGCCCCGTCGCCAGCACTATCAATTTTGACCCGTTCATGCTCCGTGATGCCCCGCCAGAAACCACAGGGCGTGCGCCGACAGGGATCCTTGAAGGCTTCCTTCCTACGCTGACATCCCGCGTGCAATGTCGACGGACGGTGCGATCACGGGCCGGAGGCGCACAGCACGATGACAGGCAATAGTTTGGGAACCAGTTTCAAGACTGCCAAAACTACACCTCCAGCGTCCAGCAGCTATGTGCAAGGCGCTCGCCGCAGGTATGGTGGAAGCTATTCTTTCTGCGCGTGTTCTCACCGATAACAGTTATGATTCCGACCAGGCAAACGAAGAAAACAACAAAGCAGCAGGTGACGACGACAACGTGGATCTCTTTCCAATTCATGGGACCCTAGATGGCGAGTTATGGGAGGCTTCTGATTTTGCGGGCTGGCGTAGTATGCGTCCTAGAGGGGAATCCTGAGTCCTTTCTTTTGGCTTCTCCCGCTTCCCCGCTCCTCTCCTGTCTCCCCCGTCGCCGAGGGATGCCATGCCGCTGCCGACGCGGCGACGGCCGCTGCCCAGCCCGACGCCCAACCCTGCGAAGCCGGGCCCGTCGCAATGTTCGACGAGAGTAACCCCGCATTTTTTTCCCTTTCCTCGCCTCCGCCTTCTCCCCCGCACCCCCCCGTCCTCGCAGAGGCCCAGAGAGCTCGATTCGCTGCCGATCGAGCCGAGGCCCGGGCAAGACGCCACTGAAGAGTGGCGCCTTCTTAGTCCTTCGCGTCCATTCTGTGGACAGAAGGATACTTATAAATTCATGTGTTGTGGTTTTCCTTGTGCTCTCGCGCCCTGTTTTCCCCCCGTGGAGTTTGCTTGAAAACGACAAGAGCGCCCATTCCATCGTCCGCCGCCGCCGCCTCGACCTGCAACTCCTGCCTCCCTCCCTCTCCTTCCCCCTTTCCTCCAGCCCCGCCTTTTCCTCGACTCGTCCTCCTGCTTCTTCCTCCCCCTCCCCCTCGCCTTTCCCCCCCCCTCCCTCGTTCTCCCCGAGAGTCGGGATTGAGTGCGAGGGAGGGCGACTGGACTGGTGGGTCTCAACGAGGCTCTCCCGCCACGGCTTCTCCCGAGCCCGTGTAGCAAGAACGGAGGCGGTCGGGATTCGATGTCGCGCGCACGCGCGCTTCGCGAGGCCCTCGGTGGCCCTCAGAGGCCTTCCTAGACCGTCGGGCCCCTTTCGGCTGCCTGCAAGGTCCCTCGTCCGGACGCCCTTCGGATGCCCTTCGGATGCCCTTAGAGGTCCTCGGAGTTTTCGCCTGCCGACGTTGCGCCCGCGCGCGCGCGCCTCCCGCGCCCAAGGTTGGGAGGTGAACGAGAGCGTCGTAGAGGAGGTTGAAAAGGAGGATGAGGAACTCATCAGCTGAAGCCTGGGCGCACCGGTCTTCGAGCTTCTGCTGATTCTCTTTGTCTCTCGCACGGCCGCCGCCGCTCCCCTGTTCCCCCGTGCCCCCCCCCCCCCCCCACGGAGAGCGGTAGTTTCCGAGCGCGCACAAGCAAGGGGACGTACGGACTCGGAACCCCAGTGCGCACAGCTGCCCCTGACTCCCGGCCGTCCCCTGTCTCACCACCCTGGAGGCACGAGGCCCGCTTCCCGAGAGAGTGGCGATCTCGCGCCAGCCCCCGCCGCTTCCCTGGGCTTCGCCTGCCTCCCGAGCCAGCGAAACACGCGAGTGTGGGCGACCTGCCCCGGCGCCAGGTGTCTCAGGCCGAGGCTCTCTTATCGAAGGTGGTGGGCGGGCGCGGTGGGCTGGCAACCCGCACGTTCGTCGTCCAAACGACCGCTGGCCCTGTTTTGGGCCCTGGAGTGCCTGAGCGGCTTGTGGCCCGGTTTCGTGCGACCACGAGTGTGTGTGTGTGTGTGTGTGTGTGCCGCCGTTCGCGGCGATCTGATAATGCAAGCGGCATTTGGAGATGACTGGTCGGCTTGCTGACGCAAAAGTATGTGCGTCGCCCTGGCTAGGCGAGGAAGGCTTTCACTTCACATATCGGTGACAAAATCCGAGCCTCACCCCCGCTGCCCATTGATTTGGACATGTCTATCTGGGTTTACCTGTGGCGCTTCACTTCGCTTGTGCCTGCGCGGTATTTATGAGCCCTCACTGGTTCCAGCGCCCAGGGGCTTGCACTGGTACGGCAGGTTCGCGCCGCTTCGAAGCAGCGGCGGCAACGTCGGGCCGGGTCAAGATTGAACTCCCTCGGGGGGTCCAGGACACGCAGAAAACGCGCCAGTGCGCGTAAACCTGTACGAATATGGTGTCGAAAGCGTCTGGGGATCTGACATCGGAGGTCGTTCAAGGTCGAATGGTTCTCACGGTGTCAGAAACCAGTGCTCACGTCGCCAAGGAACGGTTCACGTGTGGCCGCTTCGTGCACCGATCTTGGGCTGGGGACCAAGTACCGGCATGGCTTGGATCGGCACTGGAGGACAGCCTGCGTTCTCCTATTCGGCGTCCCGCCCGCTGCCGAGCCCTGGAACGCTCCGAGAGCACTCCCGAGCGCTCCTGAACGCTCCCGAGCGCTCCTGAGCGCTCCCGAGCGCTCCTGAACGCTGGAGCGACTTGTCTCTTTTTGGGGGGGTCTCCAGAGGTCTCCTGGGGTCCCCGCAGGCCTCCACAGCTCTCTCGAGGCCTCCTGAGACCTCCGGAGGCCCGAGAAGGGCAAGACCTCGTCCAGGAGCATTTGGCGTAACGTTTTGCGCGCACGGGATCTGGGAATGGTCTGGAATATCTGAGGCTGCTAGGACTGGCAGACATATGGGAAGTAGAGTAGCTTCGAGAATTTGTCAGTGTAGCTATGAATTGCTAGGGGACCTGCGAGAAGGGTATCATGGTACACTCGGACACGCGGCGGTGCTCGCAGGCCACTGGCGTTCACAGGCATCTTGCTGTTGCTCGCAGGCATTGTGTGATGTGCAATGTAGGTGGAAATTGTTGTAGCTACGCCCACCTGTGCCTATCAGATCCCACACGCGTATCAGCGTGGCTGTCCCTAGCTGTTCGCAGTCATTCCAGGACCTCGCCGGCTCCGAAGCCTACATCAGCAGGGGTTTGGGGGGGCGAGGCGGCGACGGCCGAGACGCCGAGCCGTACGACTCCGGCGCCCCGAGACAGCCTCCCGCCGCCCCTCCCCGGGGCCCGCGGAGTCCCGATCGCTGCCCAGCTGCTGTGGAGCCGAGCCCCCGGACGCCGCCCGGGGCCGCGCGGGCGGCACGCCGCCGCCGGGCGCCGGTGCGTGGCGCGCAGAGCGCGCACGGCCGTGCCCCGGGCGCGCCAGGGCCACGGGGCGAGCTCGGGCCGCTGCGCGAGGCCGGCTGGGCCGGGGCAGCGCCTCAGGATTTTTGCGACGCCAGCCAGGAGGGGTCAGGGGGGGGGGCCAGAGCATCCAATCTCCGGGGGCAGCGTCAGGAGAGGACAGATAGGTGCAGGAGGGTCTGCGTCGACCCCCAACCGCCCGCTGATCACGGATAGTGGTAATTATGGTAACCCACTCCGCCCAGGAATGTGCGGCTTTGCTATCGGGGTCCATCGCGGATCCGTCCACGATGTATCGCCGATTCCAGATCGATCGACCCTTCCCCCCCCCCCCCCCCCCCCACCCACCCCCACCGCCCTCCCCTAGCCGTCTTCCCTCTATGGCACCCCCTCGTACCCCGCCATTCGGGCCATGAGGAGAGTAATTAGGCCCTAATGTTTCCGTCGTCTTCGGCCCTTCGTGTGCCCTGGGGCCGTCAAACAACGGCTCAGGTTGATAACTAGTCTCTAGGGAACGCTCTGGGGTCTCCAGGACCCGTGCCCCTCAGTCAGAATTTCCACCACAGCTCGGCGGCGCACGGTGCCAGGATCTGGCGTTCCCCTCGCGTCCTGCCAGGTGCAGGGTGCATGGTCTTTTGATGGACCGCCTTCTCCGAGGTGCTCGCTGCAAACTCAGACGGCTGCCCCCCCTTCCATCCATATTCTTTCAAATGATGGAAATTCTCTGCTCCTCTGCTTCCACTTCTGCTATTGTTTCCTCCCGCCTTCACCTTTTCCACGTCCCTCCCACCCTCCTCTTCCTCTCCCCTCCTCCCTCGGGACCATGCCCCTGGTGGGCCGCCTACCAGCTGCAGGCCGCGGACACGTCCAAGGGCGAGCCCTGGTGGAAATCCAGCACGAGGGTGAGGGAGCGGAGATCCTGAGCGAGATTGAGCGCCTTTCGGAGAGCAGGTGCACGAAGTGGCAGAGAGACACCACGCGCCTAGACCCCACCACCGCCTGGACGGACCTGATCACGGACCTTCGGCAGGCAACCTTGCCTGAGCTGGAGCTCGGCAAGTATGCAGAGAGCCCCAGCAAGGCATATCGTGAAGAGCGAGATGCACCATTGGAAAAACGGCACCAGGAACGCAGCGTAGTGGCAGCGAAGGAAGATCGGCAGCGACTTCGAGAGCTTGACGAAATACTGAAGCAGGAGAAGTGCCGCCTCGACATCGAATACGTGGAACGCCTGCTCGAGGAGGCGGAGCTTCATCGGAGGGACCAGGACTTCAGCAACTTGTGGAGGGCGGTGTACGCGAGTAGCGCACGCGGAGGGCATCGCCAGAGGGCCTTCAACGCGCCCAGCTTCTACCGCCAGGACTTGCAGGAGTGGGAAGCCACCATGAAGGCGACGGCCACGGACGGCGGTTTCTCGGCGAAGGTGCTCACTTCCCTTGAGGAGACCGCGAGGGAGGATTTCGAGCGCCTGACGGAGGAAGGCCCCGAAGTTTTCGGAGGCGCACCTGCTTCAACGTCGTGGGATGACTGGCATCGGGCTCTGCAACAACGACGACATGTATGCACGATGACGGTATGCTCCGAACCACTCCCTACCTCTTGAGCGGTGGTATTGGCTGATACAGCACGCGACGAGGCAGCTCACAGGAGAGTGGCCTTTCACCAGCCATATGGGCGACAAACGCTTGGATAGGGTGAATAATCGCATGCGTGTGGCTTGCCCGACTGTGAAAGGCGCCTGCGGCGAGCCTTCCGACATTCTCGAGCCAAGTCGAGAACCCCAACGACTTGGCTTTGGAGTAGGGCGTTTCAGATCTCCAAGGGGAACCAAAAGCGAAGTACGAAAGCCATGCGCTTGATCCGCTGCTACTGCTCCGTCGTGGTGGCCTGGCATCGGGGACTTTCCCTCCGTTCGCCAACTCCTCTGCCCGCTTACGTCGCGGTCATGCCTCCCGCAGGTCCCGACATAATGCCCACGTGGGTGCCAAGATCCACAGTTGGCGCCTTAAGAAACTCGGAGTGTCCCACGTACGAGCGAAGGAAGACATGTCGAACGCGTTCCCTCCGACCTCACGCGAGGGGCTGGCCCAGACCGTCATGTCAGTCATGCCTCACCAGTGCGCCCTCGTCACGAGGAGGCTGTGATGGAGACTAGGGCGAGGAAGGAGGTGGGCCACTATCAGCCTACTCATTTGTCAGGGATGGGAGATGGGAATGCCTGCGATATTTTCGTACAAAGTTGTCCTCGACCCGTCGAAGCATGGCGCGATCAGCTACTCGAGCGGGCCCGCAGTCTTCCAGAACGCCGAGATGGTTGCCGCGGCACCGGTGGCTGGGTCGCCAGTGCCATGGCGTGCGCTCTGACTGACCAGTTGATTGACGTTTCGATTCAGGTCTACGCCCGCGATGTCCATGCAACGATCCCCTGGTGCGCCCCGAACTCGATCGAATCCAGGAGCGGCGTTCTCGACTCGCGCGAGGTCTTCGATCGTGAACTGCAGGAGGGAGGAGGGTACGCACACAACTCGGAGTAGAAATCATGCATCCCAGTGATGACGGGCCCGTCGCGTGCGCGACTACCCGCGCCCCGCCGCTGCGCGCGGCGCCAGTGCCAGGACTCGCCGCGGCCGAGGGCTTGCATCTAGCAGGCGTGGGACATTTGGCGGGGGGATGTGGGGCGGAGATCAGGGGGGTTCGAAGCCGCCAGATCAGCGCGGGGGGGAATGGGGGGATTTCAGGACCTCGCGCTTTCCGCGCGATCGAAGCGGATGGCGCTTAAGGGCGTCATCCCGTCTACCGCGCGCTCAGGCCTGAGTCTTGCCTGCCAGGAAAGTTGTATTATCGGCGGCTGGGCGCCGCCATCCAAGGTTTTGCCAGAGTAGCATCGCGGGGTCGCACAGCGGGGTCCTCGCTGGGTACCCCGGGAGGCGCGAGACCGAAGCGCCGCTCGCCCCCAGAGGCCACTGTGCTTCAGGACCAGCGGGCCCAGGATGACCTCCAAGCGCTGCAGTTCCTGGGCGGGGGGCCTGAATTTTTGGAACAATGCGCGGCCGGGGGCATCTTCGCCGGGGAAATGGTCGGGGGGTCCGTGGGTTCAAGATCGAGACGTTCCGAAAAGTTCCCGAGGTTCGGGGCCCCCGGCGTGGTTCCGTTCGACGTGGCGAAGCTGATGGGCCCCCGCGCAGTGCGCGGCCGCGTCTTCTACAGCGCGGGGGTCCTCGGTGCTCGTCGGGCGCGCCGTCCCTCGTATAAGCTGCGCGCTCCGGCGCTCGTGATAATGGTGGCCAGTCGACGTTTGTGCGCGTGTCCCCGTTCACGGGCCTCGTACTTGCTCGGCGTCATGCTCGAATGCCATTGTGGAAGGGGCGGCGCCTGCGTGATTAGGGCGCCACGAGCGTCCGAAGCGGTTGCCTGATCGGGCCCCCGCCGCCCCTTCTGCCTGGACATAGACGCGCCCTTCGAAGGAAATTTCCACCGCGCGCAGCCTGGCGCGAGGCGCCCCCCGAACTTCGGCCGCGCCGCAGTGGGGCCCGCGCCCCGACGGCCCTGGACCTCGTCTACTCGCCCGATGGACCTGGCACAGGCGCGCGCTCAGCGTGGGGGCGGGGGGGCGAGGGTGAGCGCTGCGCGCAAGGGGCAGCGAGAGAGGCCCGGGAGGGCGGTGCCGAGGCCGACCTTAGGGGCGCGCGGAGCGCCCTCCGATGGGGGGGGCGGGGCATTGGTCCCCGCTCCAGCGGGGGGTGGGGGCGCGGGTGGGTTGGGGCCAGCAGCCGCGGCGCGGGCGGACGCGGCGGGGCCGTCTAAGCAGCGCGCGCAGCAGCCGCAGCAGCGACGGCAGCTTCGCGGAGGCGTCGCAGAGCTACTGGCCCGCATCCACAAAGGAGACGGGGCGACCTGCGGGCTCCAGAGGAGCGACGTCATGTGAGTGCAGGAGAACCGCGTGCCGATCGAGCTTGTGCTGGTGACCGTGACGATACTGCTGAAGGTGACCCCCGAGGACTGGCAGAGCATGTCAGCGCTGGAGGCGACGGTGTTCATGTGGTCCACCTGATAGCGACGCGCGAGGTCTGCGTGGCTATTCAGCTTACGGGGAGGTACTGACTTCGAGCAGGAGGCGACGCACCTCCGCCAACGGCGTCGACAGGAGCTCCCAGCGCGCCAGCGAGTCCCCGACCTCGAAAGGTTAGGCGCGCCCCGCCCACACTTGTGGCTCGCTTTAAGTAAGGGCCTTGCAGCCTTGCAGCAGCAAGGGCACGGAGTGGGAGCTCAGACGGCTGCGAGCATCAAGGAATGGGCGGATCGGATCCGAGCCGGCCCGGCGATGGCCATGGAGATGCTGGCTGAGGCTGCGAAGCAATGCGGAGTGAGCTCCGCCCGCGACAGGGCCGCGACGAAGACCTCCGTGGACGCTGGCGGCACGGGGGGCCGAGGGTCACGCGCGGGGCCCCGCCCGAGAGCCACCGAGCCACCGAGGGCGCATCGCCCAGCTGGCCCCCGATGGGCGGGGCACCTGGCGGCTCAAGAGTTCGAGCGATTCGGCCTTCGCGGGCATGGCGGGCGGCGCCTGCGCGCGCGCCAGATGCCCCCGCTGACTTGGGGGCCTCATCCTCCAACTTTCGCTCCCCGGACCTCGTCGTTCGAGCCGTCGTCCCGCCGCCTTTGCCCCCCCCACCCCCCTCCTCTCCCCTCGATGATGCGATGCTAGATTCCTACAGGGGGCTCGGCGGGGCGCCAGATGGTCCAGGTCCATTGGTGACCTCCTTGGGAAACCGTGGGTTTTTTTGCTGTCCTGCGGGTGCCGTGCGTCTCTCGTTCCACATTGTTTTTCCTAACCATCCTGTGGTTTTTGGTCTTCGTTTTGAAGAGACGGCGCCCCGCGTCCTCTCCCTCTCTCCTCTCCTCTCCTCTCCTCTCCTCTCCTCTCCTCTCCTCTCCTCTCCTCTCCTCTCCTCTCCTCTCCTCTCCTCTCCTCTCCTCTCCTCTCCTCTCCTCTCCTCCTCCCCTTCCTCCTCCCTCCTCGCGTCGCTCCCCTCACTTTGGCATGCCCCTCGCACGTTTGGTGGCCCTTTTCAGGGGGCTCCACCGAAGCCCCGGATGCCAGCGCTCGCATGCGGCCACCGCACCCAGTTTGGCTCGCCCCTCACTGGTTTGGTGGCCCCACAGGGAGCTCCACCGAAGGCCCACATGCCAATGATCGCATGCGGCCACCGCGCGCATTTTGGCACACTTTTCGCGCGTTTCGTGGCCCCATATGGGGTTCCACCGAATGCCCAGATGCGAACGCTCGCATGTGGCCGCCGCGCCCATGTTGGCACACCCTTCGCACGTTTCGTGGCCCCATATGAGGTTTCACCGAACGTCCAGAACACGAGCGTTCGCATGCGGCCACCGTGCGCATTTTGGCACACCCTCACACGTATCGTGGCCCCATAGGGAACTACACCGAAGGCCCATATGCCAGCGCTCGCATGCGATCACCGCACACATTTTGGCACATCCCTCGCGGGCTTCGTGGCCCCATAGGGAACTCCACCGAGATGCCAGCGCTCGCATGCGGACGCCGCGCCCATGTTGGTCCACCCCTCACACGTTTCGTGGCCCCATACGGAGCTCCACCGGAGGCCCATATGCCAGCGTTCGCACGCGGCCACCCCACTCATGATGGTACACCCCTCACGCGTTCCGTGGGCCCGTAGGGAGGGAATTCCACCGAATCCGGTGCATGCGACGACGGTGCCCGCAACTGCAAATCATTGGTTCTTCGGCGGGTTAATGTTTGCTCGTTCCTCTAGCCTGCTATCGAGTTTTTTCCCCACATCCAAAGTGGGGTTCTTGTTTTCTCTGCACACGCCGCCCAGGATCTCACACCCCCCCTTTCCTCTTTTTCTCACACACACACACACTCACCATCATCACCATCATCATCACCATCAACCACCATCATCGTCATCACACGCACACACTCATCATCATTACCGTCATCATCACCATCAACCACCATCACCGTCATCACTACTCATCATCATCATCCTCATCATCATCATCGTCACCATCATCACCACTCTATCACCCACTCACTCACTCAATTACTCACTCATCTTCAGTAGGCTTCGGAGGCAGTGGTCCTCCGACGGTAGGAACGCCGTCTCTCTCAACATCATCGTCACCATCACCATCATCATCTTTCGATCACCCACTCACTGGTCGTCATCATCATCATCATCATCAGCATCATCATCACTCATTCATCACTCATCATCAGCACTCACTGACTCATCAGTTCGTCATCAATCACTCCCTAGATTGAATATGGAGGAAGTATCAGGCGGGAGCCTCGTCGGTGAGTGAATTGCGAGGAAGTCTCAGGCGGGAACCCCCTCCACACGGGGCCCACATTTCATGTTGGTCATCCGAGCGGGTCATCCGAAACGTGTAACTGTCGTCACTTTTGGGCTCCTGAGGCCTGAATATGGAGGAAGTATCTGACGGGAGCCGCGTTTGTGAATGAATTGCGAGGACGTCTCAGGCGGGAGCCCCCTTCCCTATGGGGCCCGCATTTCATGTTGGTAATCCGAGCGGGTCATCCGAAACGTGTAATTGTCGTCACTTGGGGCTTGAATATGGAGGAAGTATCAGGCGGGAACCTCGTCTGTGAGTGAATTGCGAGGAAGTCTCTGGCGGGGGCCCCCTCCCTATGGGGCCCGCAGATCATGTTACGAATCCGAGCGGGTCATCCTGAAACGTGTATTTGTCGTCACTTTTGGGCTCCTGAGGCTTAAATATGAAAGAAGTATCGCGCGGGCGCCTCGTCTGTGAGTGAATTGTGAGGAAGTTTCAGGCGGGTGCCCCCTCCCCACGGGGCCCGCAGATCATGTTGCGAATCCGAGCGGGTCATCCTGAAACCTATAGCTGTCGTCACTTTTGCGCTCCTGAGGTTTGATTACTGAGGAAGTATCAGGCGGGGGCCTCGTCTGTGAGTGAATTGCGAGGAAGTCTCAGGTTCCCGTGCATGTCCGAAGCGGCCCGCGAGGGCGCGGGCGCGCCCGAGCCGACGGAGGCCGCGACCGCTCCCGCGCCCGCGACCGGGTACCGACCTCAGGTGACCGCAGCGCGCGAGGAGAGACACGCTTGGGCAAACCTGCGCGACGAACGCCTCCAAGGCAATCGCGACGAGGACAACGCAGGCGCTCCGGACGGCGAGGGCGAGAGCGCAGGTGGCCTGGGCGGCGACCCCGCTGCGGCCAGTTTTGCCAGCAGCGTGTATTCAACGCCCAGCGCGTACATCGCCGCCCTGGTCGCTGGGTTGCCGGAGAACGCAAGACTCACGCGGGACCAGGCGCTCTTCGTCGCCAAGTTCGCCAAGGCCTGCGACGACGCCTGGGAACACGACGTGCAGAAGAAACCCTGGAGCGAGAAAAAAGTGACGCACTTGCTCCTGCTGGGCCAGGGCGGCTCGGGGAAGACGCGCGTGGTGCAGAAGATCGTCTTCCCAGTGGTGGAGTATTTGCGGCCCTCGTCGGCGCAGGACAAGGGCGCCATGATGGTCGTGGCCTTCTCGAACGCGCAGGCGAAGAACCTCTCCACGGAGACTGTGAAGGCTAGAGCGCTGCACAACGCCTGTGCCCTGCGAGTCCAGAAGTACATCAACGCGAAGATGAGGCCGGGGGGCATGCAGAGGTGGCAGAAGTGGTTGTGGGAGCACGTCCGCGTAGTTGTCATCGAGGAGGTGAGCATGGTGGCGGCTGGTCTGTACAACGCGCTGGACCTTCGCGCTTGCCACGGACGCAGTTGCGCGCATGACGCGCAGGAGTCCACCTACAAGAGGCCGCGTCACCACTTCGGGCGCGTCCCCGTCGTGCTGCACCTCGGCGATTTCCTCCAGCTGAAGCCCACTGGCAGCATCGGCCTCCTAGCGGACCCCGACGAGCTCCTGGAAGACGATTCGTGCAAGTACAAGGAGCCGCCGACGTTGGAGATTCAGCGCGCCATCGTCGTCTTTAAACACATCCCCTGCGTCTTCGAGCTGAAAGGCACGAGGCGCTTCGAGCCAGGGGGCCCTCTGATCGCGTTCTTGGGCTGCATGCGCGAGGGCAAGCGCTTCCCACCAGAGGTCTGGTCTGCCTGGGGGAAGACGTTGGCCTCGGACAGCCGCGGCGTCCTGGGCCCTCGGCGCCAGCGCGAGAACTTTCGGCTCGGCTACGGCATGGGCATCTACTGGGAGACGCTGGCGAGGTGGATCAACACGCGCGCCCGTCGCGACGCGCGGCGCCTCGGCGCCCCCCTCGTTTTCCCGCAGGCCGTGGACGAGCGCGGCGCGATGCAAGGCGACCCAGACGCAGGCCGGCGCCTCCTGAACGTTCCGAACATGCACAAGACCGGGGACCTCCACGGCGTCTTACCGGCACGCGTCGGCATGGAGGTCCGGTTCACGGCCGTGCAGGAGGAGCTGAAGAAGAAGTTGGGGCTCGTGCAGGAGCAGCGGGCCACCATCGTGTCCTTCGAGTTTCACGCAGACAACGAGCGGGACTACGAGGGGCGCGCGCCGGGCCAGCTCTTCCGCCCCCGCTACCTACCGCAGGGAATCTGGCTGCAGGTGCACGGCTTCCAGGAGTCCCCGATCTACAAGGAGGTCGCCGAGGTGCTGCAGCAGCGCGCCGATGGCGCTGGCGACGACGGCGAGGCCGTGGCGCGGGCGAGGAGCTCGCTCATGTTCAGGCCCAGCGAGCAGGAGTTCACGTGGCAGAGCTCGGGGGCGCACGCTGCGCGCCGCTCGGGGTTCACCCTGGCGCGTGCGTCCTGCCCGACCTCCACGCTGTCGCAGGGCCAGACGCCGCGCAAGGGCGTCACCATCGACTGCGCCAGGGATGAGGACGCTGGCCGCGCGGGCATGTCGGGCGAGATGTGGTGGCTGCACCTCTACGTCATGTTCCCCCGCGCCACGTGCGTGCGGAGAATGCTGATCCTGCGGCCGCCCGCGCGAGAGTTCCTGGGGCGCGGGCCGCCGGCGTCCCTGCGGAAGGCGCTACAGGAGTTTGACGAGAGAGCGGTGGGCTCCAGCGCTGGGGCGGAGCAGCTCGCGGCAGAGCTGGGCATCGTGCCGCCGCCCGCCTGAGCGCCGCGGCGCGCGCCTGGAGGCCCGCGGGGTTGCCCCGGCGGCTGGCTCCCGCGCCCCTGCGGCCTGCGAGGTTGTCCCAGCGGCCTGGCCCGAAGGGTTGCCCCGGCGGCTTCGCGATCTAGCCGTCGGCAAACGCGCGCGTGCTGGCCGACGCGGCGACGGCGCCGAGGAAAATCGAGTTGCTTGCCGCGACCAGGGGGAACTGGGGGTGCACGTGGAAAAGAGGCAGGGGGATGATGAGGGAAGGGGCATGGGGGGGATGGGGGGGGGGGGCGACGACGAGGAGGAGGCGGCGCGAGAGGAAGAGAGGAGGAGGAAGGAGTAGAAGGGAGGAGGAGGAGAGGAGGAGGAGGAGGAGGAGGAGGAGGAGGAGGAGGAAGGAGGAGAAGGAAGAGGAGGAGGAGAAGGAGGAAGATAAATAGGAGGAGGAATAGAGGGCAGTGCAGAGGGCGAGAGGAGAGGGTCCGCCAGGGGGAGGAGGATAGGGCAAAGGGTAAGCTAAACAGATTCTCGTGCGGGGTCCTACCGTCGGAGTAATTTGCTGATCATTTTTCAGCGCGGCTTGGCCCCAGATCTGTAAATTCCCAGGCGTGCCAGCAACCAGACTCGTGTCGCTGCAGAGCTCCCCCGCCGCCGCCGCCCCCCCCCTCCCCCTCCTCCTCCTCCTCCTCCTCCTCCTCCTCCTCCTCCTCCCCTCCCGTGTTCACCTCCCTTTCCTTTTCTCCATGCTCTGCCGTGCCGATCCTTTTCCCCATGCCCATCCGCTTCCTCCGTCTCCTCATCGCTCTCGCCCTCCCCATCCGCAAGTCCTCTGTCGCTTCCTTTTTTTCCTCTCTCCCCTGATCCTCGCCTCTCTTTTTCTCGTCCTCGTTGTCCCTCCCCTTCTCTTGCTCCTCCTCCTCCTCATGCTCCTCCTCCTCCTCCTCCTCCTCCTCCTCATCCTCGTCGTAGTACTCCTCCTCCTCCTCCTCCTCCTCTCCCTCCTCCTCTCCTTTTTCTCCTTCTCCTCCTCCTCCTCCTTCTCCTCCATCTCTCCTTTCTTCCTCCTCGTCTCCTCCTCCTCCTCCTCCTCCTCCTCCTCCTCCTCCTCCTCCTCCTCCTCCCCCCCACCCTCCTCACCCTCCTCCTCCTCGTCCTGCTCCTCTTCCTTCTCCTCCTCCTCCACTTTCCTGGAGTTTGTGTTCCCCCGCGCTACTCCTTTCCTTCATTGTCGTTTTGCTCTTCCTCCTGTTGCTCCTTCCCCTCGGCCTTCCACTCTTTGTTTGTTTTCCCCCTCACCCTCTAGACTTCGCCATCGTCATCGTCATCATCCTCTTCTCCTCTTCCTCCTCCTCCTCCTCGTCCTCCTCCTCCTCGTCCTGCTCCTCTGCACCCTCCTCCCCGGTCCCCTCCTCGCCCTCCTGTTCCCCCCCCCCCGTGTCGAGGGGGGGAGGGGGGACGGGCCCGTGGCCCTGTAGGGAAGCCACGCAGCCGATAAGCCCTGGCTTCTCGCCAGTCTCGGGGCGGGCCTGGCAGACCCAACGGGGCGGGGGGGAGGGTCGCCGCGTGGACAGAGAGTTTTGGGATCAGGAGGAAACGAAGGAGAAGGAGGATGTGAAGTAGGAGGATAGGGACGAGAATGACGATCAGGAGGAGCAGGGTTTGTAACAGTAGCAGCGGTAACAGTAGCACTTGCAGCACGTAGACATTGCAGTAGCAGTGATATTATTAGTATTTTCGTATGATTATTATTAGTGTTATTATTGGTGGTGGTAGTAGTAGTAGTAGTAGTAGTAGTAGTAGTCGTAGTCGTAGTCGTAGTCGTAGTAGTCGTAGTAGTCGTAGTAGTAGTAGTAGTAGTAGTAGTAGTAGTAGTAGTAGTAGTCGTAGTAGTAGTAGTAGTAGTAGTAGCAGTAGTAGTGTTAGTAGTAGGTAGTAGTGTAGTAGTGTAGTCGTAGTTGTTCAGTAGTTAATTGTCGTAGTCGTATGTAGTAGTAGGAGTAAGTTAGTAGTAGTAGTAGTAGCTGTCGTCGGTCATAGTGTCTAGTAGTCGTTAGTCGTAGTCGTAGTCGTAGAGTAGTAGTAGTTAGTAGTAGTAGTAGTAGTAGTCAGTAGTAGTCGTCTAGTAGTTGTAGTTAGTTAGTTGTAGTAGGTTTCTTTCGTTTAATTTTTAGTAGTAGTAGTTGTAGCAGTAGTAGTAGTAGTAGTAGTAGTTAGTAGTAGTTTAGTAGTAGTAGTTTTAGTAGTAGTAGTAGTTTTATCGTTAGTAGTTGTAGTAGTAGTAGTAGTAGTAGTAGTAGTTAGTAGTAGTAGTCGTAAGTTGTTTGGATAGTAGTAGTAGTCGTCGTCGTCGTCGTCGTCGTCGTGTCGTCGGTCGTCGTTGTGTTGTTGTAGTAGTAGTAGTAGTAGTAGTGGTAATAATTGTGGTAGTAGTAGTAGTTAGTAGTGTTTGTGTAGTAGTAGTAGTGTAGTAGCAGTGTAGTTAGTAGTAGTAGTAGTACTAGTAGTAGTGCGTAGTCGGTAGTGTAGTAGTAGTAGGAGTAGTAGTAGTGTAGTAGTCGTGTAGTAGGCCGAGGGGTCGCCCCCTAGTCGTAGTCGTAGGTCGTAGTCGTAGTGAGTAGTAGTAGTAGTAGTTGTAGTGTGTAGTTCGTAGTTGTAGGTCGTAGTAGTTTCGTAGTAGGAGTGGTAGTTGTAGTTAGTAGTAGTAGTAGTAGTAGTTAGTAGTAGTAGTAGTACGTAGTAGAAGCAGCAGTGCAGTAGTAGTAGTAGTAGTAGTAGTAGTATATTAGGTAGTCATACGATAGAGGAGTTAGTTAGTAGTAGTAGTTCGTGTAGTAGTTGTAGTAGTAGTAGTAGTAGTAGTTCGTTAACGTTAGTGGTTGTGTAGTAGTTGTTAGAGTAAGTAGTAGTAGTAGTCGTAGTCGTAGTAGTAGTAGTAGTAGTAGTAGTAGTAGTAGTAGTAGTAGTAGTAGTAGTGGTTGCAGGGGTGGGAGTAGGAGTAGTCGTGCTAGTTGTGGTAGCCATGGGCGTCGCATTCGATGCGGTCTCCGTAGTAGGTGTCGTAGTATAAGGCAGAGTTGTAGTCGTAGTAGTAGTAGTCATTGTACTAGTTGTGGTAGTAGTAGTAGTAGTAGTAGTAGTAGTAGTAGTAGTAGTAGTAGTAGTAGTAGTCGTAGTCGTAGTCGTAGTAGTAGTATTCGTAGTATTCGTTGTCGTAGTAGTAGTAGCAGTAGTAGTAGTAGTAGTAGTAGTAGTAGTAGTAGTAGT